TTTTTTTCTCACTTGCCTTTTCTCTTCATCCTTAGCTGCGGTATATGTATGTACATATGTACATACATACATAAACATATATGTACGGTTGTGCCGAGCTGAGATTTGCATTTTTTGTCTCTCGTTTTTTGGACATTAACTGTGAGCAGTTCGATTAGGAAATTCAATTGTTGTGCAACTATAGTCACGGCCACGTACCATTTGATTTGTAAGAACATTGTATCGAAATAAATTACAAATAAGTTAAAAACACAGTGCGTTTAGTGGTTTTAGACATTCATAGCTGCAAAAAAAGGCTTTGTAGCTCAACATTTTTTGGTGACCCCGACGTGATAGCCGTGACAATTTAGTTGTGCAAAAAGAAAATCAATTCAACAGACATTTAGTTATTTAACAATAATAGTTGTTGTGCTGCGCGACAACTTCCATTCTTGCTGTACATATGTATTTTCGTGCATAGTACATACAATCCGTTCTTTGTAATCACCACTGTGATTTGGAGCAATTGTGGTGTGATTGTTAAACGGTCAAAACTGTAACTTTGCGTACATACATAGCCCTTGGCTAGTACATACAATCCGTTCCTTGTAGTCTGGACGGTAAACTTGCGAGTTTGTGGCGTGATCATTAAACGGTTAGGACTATAACGTTACATACATACATCACGGCTGTCGTTTGCATTCTGCATCCATCGCTTAGCAGTTGATATATATTTTTGCATACGTTTGTTTTATATTCGTTGCGTTGCTGAGAAAACATCCACTCAAGTTGTTCTTCTCGAACCTTCAATATGTCGCTTAGCCCAGCTAATGGTACTGCCAACGGGGAAGGTTCATCAAACATTGCCCCAGCGAGTGGGCAAGTGTCTTCAGACCGAGTGTTGTTTTTGAAGTCGAAAACAATGTCCCTATTCAACCGGCTTGAGCGCACAGCGGCAGAAATGGACGTGGAAAAGCTTCAAGGCATGGATGAGTACGACTTAGCAGCAATTGTCGAATTATTAGGTGAATTAAAATCAGCCTTTACTGTCGCTCACACCAGTTTGGAGGAACTAGATTTCCATTCCATTGCCAGTGTTCTTCCCTGCAAATTTGATTCCACGGTAACAAATCTTAAGGCGAACCTGCAACGAGAGATTGGGAAACGTACTACATCCCGCCACTGCTCGACATTCAGAGCGAACGCCGGCGATTCCCAGTCCATCATCGTGAATGCTAATCCTTCTCGCTTGCCTTTGCTGACGTTGCCTAAATTTAGTGGTGCTTACACTGAGTGGATGAACTTCCTTTCGATGTTCATCTCTGTCATCGACAAGGATAGCGACCTAACGCAAACCGATAAACTGCAGCATCTTCGTTCCTGCTTGAGTGGTGCAGCACTGGATACCATACGATCGCTAGAGATAAACGAGGCTAACTACAAAATTGCGATAGAACTTCTTAAAAAACGATTTGATAACAAAAGACTTATCTTTCAGGCACACATCAGGGAGATCTTTGGGTTGGAAAGGGCAGGCACATCCGTTAGCAAGCTACGAGAGTTGAGGGACAAAGTCACTTCGCATATACGCGCGTTGCAATCACTTGCGTCCAAGGAACAAATCGCAGACTGTATAATCATACAATTGTTAACTCAGAAGCTGGACAAGGCAACCCAAGCCAAATGGGAGGAGAATTCTTCAAGCAACGAGCTGCCGTCGTGGGACCAGTTAGCTGACTTTTTAGAGAAGCGCTGTCGAACACTCGAAAACGTAGAGCATGCCATGGTAGAGCAAGGATTTCAGGTTGGAAAAAGTGGAAAAAACGTGAGTACCAATCAAAATAAATCATTTCTTGCTTCGAAAACCTCTGCGTGTGGTTGCGCATTTTGTGGATCGGCAGATCATCTCATTTACCACTGTCAACGGTTCGCAAATTTATCGCCAAACCTTCGTCAGAAAGAGACCAAGAAACTTTCTCTTTGCCTTAATTGTCTAAAGGCGGGTCATCAGATGCGAGATTGTAAATCTGGATCTTGTCGCAAATGTCAATCGAAGCACCACACCCTTCTACATTTTGATCGTACAAATATAGCTTCACCTGCAACTCGAGGTGCGGCTTCTCAATCAACTACAGCTCAGTCGAACGCAATGATTGCAACGTCGCCTGTCCTTCCACAAGCCCTTACTTCACAATCTCCATCTGATGCTGTGTTTTTAGCCACTGCGATAATTCATGCTAAAAATCGTGCCGGAACTTTCGTCCCATGCCGCGCACTGTTGGACTCTGGTTCCCAGCCGCACTTTATTACAACTCGTTTCGCCAATCAATTACAACTTCGTAAAACCAAATCCTCGGCTGCCATTTCGGGCATTGGGGATGCCAATTTCTCCACAGAGGGTTACTCGGTCGATGTCGTTCTGAGGTCGCGGACTTCAGATTTTTCTACACGTATTACAGCCGTTGTTGCGCAAACAATCACTGAAAATCACCCTAGTTTTTCGGTGGTCACGGCGGACTGGAACGTTCCTTCAAACATTCAACTAGCTGACCCGAATTTTAACTTACCACAGCGCATTGATTTGCTCATCGGAGCAGGATTGTTTTTCGAACTACTTTGTGTGGGGCAGATTCAGTTGGCGCCCGGTCTGCCAATACTTCAAAAAACTCTACTGGGCTGGGTGATATCCGGCGGTGGTCAACAGTCTTCAAAGCTCTCGTCATTTATAGTTAACAAAAGGTCTTCCAGCTGCGAAGATTCCAGCACTAGACTGGACGATTTAGTACGTCGTTTTTGGGAGGTTGAGCATGTTTTCGAACCAATCGTTAGGACAACAAAAGAAGAGCTTGACTATGAGGCGCACTTCAAAAATAATCTTTCGCGTTTGCGCTCCGGTGAGTACTCAGTTCGACTGCCACTGAAGCTCGCTCCTGAGGCATTAGGCGATTCGTATCTGCAAGCTAAGCGCCGTCTCGAAGGTCTTGAGCGGAAACTAGCCCGAAATCCTCAATTGAAGGAAAAATATTCGGCATTTATTCAGGAGTATCTTGACCTCAATCACATGTCGTTGGTCCCCAGCGCATCCGTTCAAGAGTGTAAATATTTCTTACCTCATCATTGCGTCATTAAAGATGATAGCTCCACAACAAAGCTCAGAGTCGTATTTGATGGTTCTGCTTCCACAACCTCGGGATTGTCTTTGAACGACTTACTCATGGCGGGGCCATCGATTCAGCCCAAACTCTTCGATATTCTCGTTCGATTTCGCTCATTCCCCGTTGCACTCACCGGAGACATATGCAAAATGTATCGGTGCGTTCGAGTCGCTGCACCCGATAACATGCTGCAATGCATATTGTGGCGTAACTCGCCAGAAGATGAATTCAGCGCTTATAAGCTGGATACAGTTACATATGGAACCAAGCCAGCAGCGTTTCTGGCCATACGGGCAATGCATCAGCTCGCCTCGGATGAGTCCTCATCTTACCCCTTAGGCGCACAAATCGTTATGCGCGACTTCTACGTAGATGATCTGATATCCGGTGGAAACACGGTAGAAGAAGTACTCGAAATCAGGCATCAAACGACCAGCCTCCTCGCTCGTGGCAATTTCCGCTTACGGAAGTGGTGCTCCAATAGCCAGGAGGTTCTGGGTGACATCCCTGATGCTGATAGAGAAAGTTTCCTGAAATTTGATGACGGTAGCAACATCACCAAAGCGTTGGGTCTTGTATGGGATCCACTCAAGGATAGTTTCTTGTTTGCTTTCACTCCCCGAATTACACCTGGCAGAAATTCCAAACGTTCTGCATTGTCTACCATAGCTCGTTGCTATGATCCACTTGGACTTATTGGTCCGACTCTAACCAAGGCGAAAATTATTCTGCAGCGTATGTGGAGGGACAAACTTGAGTGGGACGAGAGCCTACCGCAATCGCTTGATACAGCTTGGTCTGCGTTCTGCAAGGACTTCGTCGACGTGCATCACTTATCATTCCCGCGTTACATCGGAGCCACACATGAAGTCCACGCATTTTGCGATGCCAGCCTCGAGGCATACGGCGCTTGTATTTATGCTCGCTCAATCAAAGATGGCAATATTCAAGTTCATCTATTGTGTTCAAAGGCTCGAGTCGCCCCGTTGAAGACACTTACTGTGCCAAAGCTAGAGCTCTGTGCTGCTGGTTTACTAGCGCATTTAGTAGCCGAAATCGCAAAAATGAAGGTGTTTGATTGCTCCTTTTATTGCTGGTCGGACTCGACTGTGGTGCTGTCGTGGCTAAAGGAAGTACCCTCTAAATTCAACGTATTTGTAGCTAATCGGATTTCTAGTATACAGCAACTTACAGAGGGCATGCAGTGGCGCTACGTCCCTACAGCCATGAACCCAGCGGATATTTTGTCTAAGGGAGCTGCGCCTGCTGAGCTGTCACGTTCAACGCTTTGGACCCACGGTCCTCCATTCTTGCAGGTAGCAGAGCACGATTGGCCAGACATCACGGTGTCCCACACCAAACTTCCAGAAATTCGCCAAAGGGCTCTGGTGACTTTAAACGATAGAATCGATATCTCACTCTCTTTTAAATACATAAACTCTTTTAGCAAGATGCAACGCATTTTTGGATACGTGCATAAATTTTTAAACATTCGCAGATCGAAAGGAACGCCGCATCTCACCTGTGAAAACGTTCATCCAGGAACTCAACTTTTAATTCGCCTCGTTCAAAGAGCGCGGCTTTGGTCAGAGTACGATGCGCTGAAGAACAACAAAAGTGTCCACTCTTCGAGCAGCATCGCGTCGTTGTCACCATTTTTGGATGACCTGGGAGTTATTAGAGTTGGTGGCCGACTAAAGCATTCAACGCTCGGCTTCGAAGCACGACATCCAAGCATTCTTCCAAAGGATCATCCTTTAACGTTCGCCATAATTACGTATTTCCATCGCAAGTGTCACCACGCAGGCCCCCAGTCCCTTCTAGCTTCAATTCGCATGCAGTACTGGCCTATAGGTGGAAGAAAGACTGTGGCACGCGCCCTACGAAAATGCGTCATATGCTGCAGATCAAAGCCACGACTTTTCGAGCACATCATGGCGGATTTGCCAAAAGAGCGCATTCAAGCCTCGCGTGCCTTTATCATCTCTGCAGTGGACTATTGCGGACCATTCTATTATAAGCCCGAAGCGCGCAGTAAATCGCCCCAGAAATGCTATATCAGCGTATTCATTTGTTTTGCAACAAAGGCCGTTTGGATGGAACTGGTTAAGGACCTTTCAACTGGTGCTTTTCTGGATGCCCTAAAACGATTTGTCGCTACGCGTGGTACACCAAGCTGCATCTGGTCTGACAACGCAACCAATTTTGTAGGCGCTAAGAACGAGTTGAAAGATTTACGACGCGTGTTTCTCAGTGAAAAGCATCGTACAGAGGTTCACACGCACTGCCTTAACAATGGTTTCGATTGGCGATTCATACCGCCTCGTTCGCCGCACTTCGGTGGCCTTTGGGAGGCCGCAGTAAAAATGGCAAAGCAGCATTTGTATCGCACTGTTGGAACTGCAATTCTTGGTTTCGACGAATTGCGCACCTTGGTATGTGAAATCTCTGCCATAATTAATTCTCGCCCACTTGTGCCAATTTCAGAGAATCCCGACGATATTGACGTATTGACGCCAGGTCATTTTCTTATCGGTGGCCCCCTTACAGCACTTCCAGAACCGGACCTTACGCCTCTAAATTACAATCGGCTCGATCGGTGGCAGCGCGTTACCTATTTGCAACAAATCTTCTGGAGGAGGTGGAGTGAAGAATACTTAACTCTTCTCCAGCAGCGCGCCAAGTGGCGCACTCCACAGCCCAATATCCAAATCAACGACGTGGTATGCATCAAGGATGAAAATTCTGCGCCTCTAAAGTGGCCTTTGGCTCGCGTCACTGAAGTCATCACTGGTACAGACGGTGTTGCTCGAGTTGCGGTTCTGCGTACCTCTACTGGCACTACGCGTCGAGCAGTGAATAAGCTGTGCGTCCTTCCTGTTAAGGATTCTGTTGAATGCCCTGACCTTTCAACGGAGGGGAGGATGTTCGGAGCAGCAGCTGGAACCTAACTAGAAGAAATTCATTTACATCATACTTATGTGCACTGCCCTGCGTGGTAGTTAAAAACTAGCTTTGTAATACCATAACTTAATATTCCTTTAATTTTTAGTGCATTTGGCCACCTTAATCTTATCACTTGCGCTCAATATTAGTATCAATCATTCTTGTAGTTTTTTT